GATCAAATATAACCACAAAATTACAACATGTTTACAGTTTTTTTCTCTACCGGGGGGGGGGGGGGGGGGGGATTAGTCAGTACATTAGCATTTGGTACTCTTCGCCATTTTTTCTCAGCATTTGCAGAAAATCCATAAGGACTTGATATGTGAAGGTTTCATAGAAGAGAAAAGAAAAATCCTAAAAATTAATATACAAAAATTATGACGTACTATGTTCTCTGGAAAACGGACTTAAGAAATTAGTTTTCAGTTTCCAAGATATGCTAAAATGTCCCATTTGGATTAATATACATGCACTTTAACATGTTATACATATTCTATTTTGATCTGTCACGCCTATCTTGCATATTAGATTAAATGTCAATTTTTTCACGCATTTAACCTGGTAAAGAGAGTGCTGCAATTCACATATTGATCAAATAAAGGGAGACAAGTGAAAATCAACTCAATTTGTCTTACAGGAAAAAGGACATAGCCAGAAAGAGAGAAACTTTGAAAAAGACAGGTAGGTTTTTATTTATTTTCTTTCTCAAGATTTTTCTTTTCTTTCAATAATTCCACTCTTTTTTTTCAACTTTTCTTTGAATGGTGAACTAAAAACTTTTTTGCATTCCCTAGCCAAAATGACAACTCAGGGCATGAGGAAGGAACTAGTCTCACTGCTGAGGAGATATTCCAACAGATGAGAAGAAAGGAGATGGACGTGTAAATACGTCTTAAAATATAGAATTTCTTTTTTTTATTCAATATACAGTACAACATACTTATAGCAGACACGTTTATAATGAAGTAACGCTTACCTCAAAGTGATTTTCATCCTCCTTCGCCCGCATGAAGCAGTGATTAGAGCGTCTGCTCTATAGTCACGAGGTAAGGATTCGATCCTTACTTCACGGGTTCGAATCCCACTGTGGGACGTGGGTACCGATCCTTCGGATGAAACAATATAAACCGAGATCGATCCTGTGTCGCAGTAGGTGCTGGCACGAAAAAAAACCATCACTGCTCAAAGGCCCTGAGTGCCGATTACTAGTATAGGGCAAAATTTGTAGTTCCCAACCGGCAAGTGGTGTCGTCTCCATATGGGTAAAAAAAATTCTCGAGAGGGACGTTAAACAACATACCATCGATCAATCAATCAATCCTCCTTGGTTGTAAATTACATTATGAAGTATATGGATATAACGAAGTCCGTGTATAACGAAACAAAATCTCCTGCATGTCTTTAGTACTTTGTTATAAACGTGTTTTACTTTAATCAACACAGTATATCGGACTATATATATTTTAAACATTTTGATATATCTTTTTCATTTTAACAAACAACCCATCCTTTACTGGTACACTGATTCTGAGATTTGTTTGCAGACTGTTGAGGGCTGGGTTTCCAGATTCAAGACAACAGTACAAAAGCAAGAGTGTCAGAGAGCCTGGAAAACAAAGTCAAACTGTTGAAAAATACACAAATGACCAGTCACAGGGAAAACCTGCTGAAAATGTTGAAGAAGTGTTCCAACAGTTGAGAAAAAGGGAAATGGAAATGTAAGAACATGTTTATACATATATAGTACTAGTACATATTACTGGCAAATTAAAATATAATTCTCAAACGGGTGCAATAATAAGAGATTTAATTACAGACTACTAAGAGCAGGATTCCCATACACAAAGCAACAAGTCCGATGCAAAAGTGATGAAGACGTTACAAAGCATGCAAAGACTGCTGAAAGCAACACACCACAACATCCACAAAATGTTGAAGAGGTCTTCCAACAGATGAGAAAAAAGGAAATGGAAACGTAAATATATTTTTATATTGTCAATTTATTTATTTTATAATGTCTTTTTAATTTATTCATTAATTATATTTTTGTGGAAGGGGAGGGGGGCATGAACAGAAAAAAATAAACTTAATGACAATCTGATTGGAATAAAAATAATATAGTTTTTTATAGGAATGTAATTTCGTTGCAGTCTGCTAAGTGCTGGTTTTCCAGACACAAAACAAACGCCCCGGTGCAAAAGTGAAGAACAGGTTGCAAGACATCTCAAAACTATTGAGAAAGACCCTCATCAGCAAAAAATAACCACTGGAAACAATGCAAAACAAAACTGTCGAAGCGATAGTCCTACAGATGTTGAAGAGCTCTTCCAACAAATGAGAAAAAAGGAAATAGATGTGTAAATATTTTCAAGATTTTGTTTTCTATTTTTGTTTATACAAAGTCATCCAAAATGAATGGGATTCTGGTTTTTTATTAAAGATGATAATTTTTGAATCTTATTTGATTCTATATATTCATTGCAGACTAAGAAAAGCAGGATTTTCAGATACAAAACAACTGGCTTGCAGCGAAAGTGATACAGAAGACGTCAAACAACTTCCCCGGAGCAACCCTGTTGGAGAAGACGAAATAGAAAAGCCTCAGAAAGAAGGAACTGGAGAAGCTTCAATACAAACGTCCGAAAGCAAGGGTGTAGAAAAGGAAGTTGAGGAGTTGTTTCAACAAATGAGGAAAAAAGAAATAGAAATGTAAATAGATATCTTTACACATTCAATACTTAGAAATGTAAATAGATATCTGTACACATTCAATACTTGAAAAATTTTGTTTTAAGATATACATTATTATATCAGACAACGACTTTGGTTAAGTCTTACATTTTGTGCAATGTCCATATTCTCAAAAAAGTAAATGTTCGAGAAGTAATATTTGGTGAAAAGGTACAGCAGTTGTTTTTTTTTTTTTTAGATTAATACTTGACGATTTTCAAGTTTCCTATTTACAGTAAAATATAGTATAAAGGGTATGAAAAATAATTTTTGTTCAGCCTTGCTAATATAAATTTCAATCTCGCTTCTTTCTCAGAGAACACTTGGATCAGCTCTGATTATGTTAAATAGCTAGTTGTATAATAATTTTGAGATTTGATTCCAGATTACAGAGAGTAGGCTTTCCAGATTCAAAAGACAGAATCAAACATGCTGATGACGACATTAAACCACAGAGCAAAAGTGAAACTGCTGAAAAAGACACAATGCAACATCTACGAAACAGAACTTCTGACGACGAATCAAAAGGAGACTTTCAAGGCGACAGTCCCGGTGATGTTGAAGAGCTCTTCCAACAAATGAGACAAAAAGAAATAGATATGTAAATATTTATATCATACACTATCTGCAACTTTTTTAAAAATATGTTCAGATTTGAAGCTAGTTGAATACAAAAAGCTTTGTTCCTTAAATTATTAGGATTAAATTCTTTTATAGACTACGAAAAGCAGGATTTCCAGAAACCAAAGAACAGCCTTGCAATAAAAGTATTGAAGAAGACATCCAACAACTATCCCAGAGCAAACCCGTGGAAAAGAAGGATAAAGAAAAGTCACAAAGCAAAGAAACTGTAGACGCTACAAGACAAGAATCCCAAAACAAGAATACAGCAACGAATGTTGAGGAGTTGTTTCAAAAAATGAGAAAAAGAGAAATGGAAATGTAAGTATAGATCTGTAAACTTAAACATTTGCTTTCATAAAACAAAATGATATCAGTCAGAATTTGCTTGAATTTTGACTCTTTGATTAATACTGCACATCTGAGAGATGGGGTACCTGTTGTGGGTTCCATTCTATAAAATGATTTTAAGAAAAATATTTGGAGGGGAAAATATAGAGATCTCTTGAAGACAAATTTCGTAATCAAACATTTTAAAATAGTCAGGTTTACCATACCAGTAAAGTTTATAATGTATGTGAAATACCTTTTAAGTTCACTTTGCATTTCTGTTAAAACTTGTTTGTTTTTTTTTGATTTTGCATCTCCCTCAGAGAACTACTACATTTAAATGTTAACTAAAATATGCACGTGAAATGTGATTTTAAATTTTTAAAAAACATCCATATTCTCAATGGTTAATTGTCTGAGATTTATTTCAGATTATTAAGGGCGGGGTTTCCAGATACCAAAGTAAATGCTGATGACAACACTAAACTACAGAACAAAACCAAAACTACTGAAAAAGAATCAAAACAACAACCCCAAGGAAAAGGTGAAGCTACAACACTGAAGGATGAAAGTAAAAACGCTGAAAAAGACGAGGTAAGAACGACCAACATACTAATTTTGTAAGAAAAACATGATAGCGGCTTGATGAAAATGAAAGTAGCAAAAGATTGCATTTATTGTTGAAATTTTCTGGAGTGTCGTGTTAATCTCATAATAAAACGACCTCGCTTACATTTCAATAATTTCCTCGGTATTTGCATTGTTACAGTAGGACAAAAAAGATGATAAAAAATCACAGATACTTAATTGAAGAAAACGCTTTGCTTTCAAACAAAATGATTTTGCTCCCTTTAACTGCAACCCGGTTTTACTTTATTTTAAATCATTAAAATTTAAGTACTAGTATATTATTTTGCATTATTCTACATGACAATATTACGAAAATAAGTAAATAAAATGAAGCACACAAAAAATGGCCTTTTTTGTAGTCTGGTGACAACCTTGACGTAAACCAAGGCGATAGTATTGAATCCTTCACGGGACCTATGTATTGGTGCTGTATCTGCATTTACCGGAGGAGAGCACATGTAAGCAACATTTTTTTGTTTAAAATCAGTGAAGGAATTGGAACGTCGTGACTTGAAATTTTTCAAGTTCTCTCGTTTTTTAATACATTTCCTGTCATAAAAGAGATTCTCAAAACTTAACTTGAACTTCCATGCCCCACATCCCCTCAACTTCCAATTCTTCTTTTGAAACATTCAATCAATACAACGAGTGATCAAAGAACAAAAGAATTTCTGGACCAAATATTATATGGCCATAAATTAATTTTCATACACGAAACTCTGTTTTTACTTTATAGAACAAGAAGCAAAAAGATGTAAAACAGGAGAAAAGGCCCGGACTTCTGAAAAGATTTAGAAGATTTTTGAGCAGAACCTTCCGCAGAGAGAGGCAGGAGTAAACTAGATGTGATGATGATGATGATGGATTTTTATGATGAAATTATGATGACATTTAGGATGATTGTGATGGATCATGTGATGATAAATTTCGATGATAATGAGGATGGTGAAAGCACATAAAACATTTGTTCTTTTGTCAATATTTTTTTTTAATCATGTCGATTCCCGCTCTTTGCCAGAATGAAGCAAATGCTAATGCCTTCAAATGCATGTCACCGCATTATTCCATGTTTCCTTACAACCCTGCATTTTTGACAATGAAGACTATCAAATTTTAATATCGTTTCCACATTCATAACATGTCATCTGAACATTGTAATTAATACTTTTTTGGCATTAAAAATTAGAATTTGCTGATTATGTGTTTGCTTATTTTTCCTTCCAAAATCATTGCAGAAGATATTGAAATCCGTCCGTTCAAATTGTTTAAAATGCCAATTTTTTCTAAAATTTTGGGAATAGTGATCTCTCGATCCTTAATTCTTGCTTTTTCTCTTCAATTTGCTTTCTTCCTGGTTTCAATGCTTCTACTTCACTTCAGCTGTCACTGCTTCGTATTTACAGATTTACCGATGTTTGGTTTCGACTTCTTGAGTGCTCGTCTGTCAACAATTTCCATAGCACTTAAATTTGATGAAATAGCTGTTGCTTCCTAAACTTTCTCGTTTGGCAGGTACATGTATATAGATGTTATGATGATTTTCTGTTGTAAGGGACATCCCAAGGAAGTCAAAAATCTACTTCAAAAGCATATCAAAGATCAGGTCCATGGAAGTGTAACGATCCCTCCCCCCCATTTTTCTTGAATCTCATTTTTTTTATCTTGGTATTTTTCTAAAGCACTTTCATGCATACTTTCAATTCATTCATCAATTCTTGTATGGAATGTTGAAATGTCCAGCGAGAGTTATGTCTTAAATGTTGGTTGACAACTGCTTAAATGCAGCGATGATCTATGTCATTTTTCTTGTGTTTCGATGTGTTGAATGTCAGACATCGTTTTGCTATTTAATTACACGCTTTTTGTTGGCTTAATTGTACACACGTAATTGTTAAGTTGCGCTGTAATTTAGAATTGTCTTATAGTTACCATATTTCTTGTGTGATCGATGTTTTATGGTCTTTGAGTACACACGTTTCACTGAAACTTCTGCCGCCGCCATACTTTGTTTACGTGTGTATTTTCCCGTGATGCTTCACGGTGATCTATTTTTACTGGAGTTATTTCGGCGGAAGATTTGATTGTAAATTCTTTTAAATTAAATGTTAAACAGTGTTAAATGAGCTTTTAAAAGTGTAACTTTATGTTTTATGAATTTATTTAATTTATTTACGTATTGTAATAATTTTACATACGATGTACGAGAGTGAGATTTCATTACGGGACGATGATTATATTTGATTGGCTGATTATTATTTACGGGATGGAATTATTAGTTATGATTGGTTATGAATTATTGCGGGTTTTGCTAATTCTATAAATACTCGGATGCTGAATATCGTTTGCTCTCTCGTTTTCTTTGTGACCTGAAGAAAGGTTGCCAGTTTTGTCCAGAGTAATTTAAGGTGTGTACTATTTCAGTATCTAAGTGACTGAAGTACATAATATGTAATGTTAGGTTAGGCTAAATTCATATTACTAGTAATTGTACTAGTTTTATTTATAATTACTAGTTGTGAACTAGTTATTTTTATCTTCTTTAGCCCAGTTTAGGAGTTAGGAAATATTTCTGCTGCGTGCTAGTAGTTGAACTAGTAGCGGGAATATTTATTTGTAAATTAATTATAAGTCATTTATAGAGAGCCTTTTCGTTTTATTTTGGTCGGGGGAATTTATACTTAAATTATAAATTACTGGAAATAGTGCCAGTTGCCCAGTTATATCAGTAGTTGTACTGATTTTGTCTTTTGTCCCGAGGGTTGAGACTTGTGAATTTCAAACTGTTATTTATTTTCGCTGTTTATGAATTACTGAATAAAATTATAAAACTTTACATCGGAGTTTTTGTTCTCAACACAAGGCAGGCGTTCCGAAGCGTTACAATTTTGGCATCCACGGCGAGATCCGTTTAAGTTTACGGGTCCTGTGATCGAATGATCCGTTTAAGTTTACGGGTCCTGTGATCGAATCATAACAACGCTTTGTCTGTGTTTGAGAAACAAAAATTTTATTAAGCAAACATCAAATAAAAAATAAATCACAATGGCAGGTCGTAAAAGTCGACGGAGGCGTCGTGGTCTTCAAGAATCCAAATCTACCTCACGAGTTTCAGACTCCTCCGTAGATACTGTAAGAGAAAATGAAAGCGAATGTGAATTTCCGTGTGAAGGAGCTGACATGCACAGAACTAAGCCATTTGTTCATTCAAATAAAGAAGCCTCCCAATTTGCAAATTTACATGACTCAGATACAAGTTTAGTGCTTGTGAGTTCTCAGGCAGACGTTGTGAGAGACGGAGAATCTACACTTTTTATTGGAAACTCAGATACAGTTTCTGTATCTGTGAGTTCTACTACAGAGCATCCACAGACAACACACAGTGTAGTTACGCCTAAAATGAGCCATCTTCACACCTTGGGTCCCACAACTCAGATGCCTTTTGTACCTGTTTGCTCACATTTTGCTGAGAATTTATGTACAGGTTTTCCTAGAGAGCCGACAGCTGTCCCTAGTATGTATATACCTGCAGTCTCCAGTACAGGTACTCTCAGGAGCCCCTCCATTACACAGACAGCAATTCCAGTATCTGGGTTACCCGTGAACTCTCATACACACAGCACTTCTTTGAGTTCATGTACAGGTACAAATTATTACAATACCTTACCTGTAAACTCTTATGCAGTTCCTTGTACTGCGAGTTTTCAAGGTCCTGTACATTGTCATCAAAACCAGAGCGCCCATATGTTTACCCCATTGCCCACAATTACAACATCAGCTCACAGCATTTGCATGAGAACTCATTTACCTCTAAGTTTGTGTACAGGTTCTGTGCCTGTAAGTTCTTGTACAGGTAATGTACCTGTAAGCTTATGTACATGTACAGGTTCTGTGCCTGTTAGTTTGCGTACAGGTTCTGTGCCTGTTGGTCTAAGTACAGGTTCTGTACCTGTGAGTTTGTGTACAGGTTCTGTACCTGTGATGCAGAATCGGACCCTCTCTGCTCCCATGAGAAGTGCAAGAGCCTTATCTAGTACGAGTAACGAGCAAACTGCACTTATCCAGCTTACGGAGATGGTAGAGCATTTACAAGAGAAAATTAAACAGCTCTCTGAACAAGACCACCAAAGGACCAACCCTGACAACAGACAATCAGATACATGTAGTGCATCTCATGAGTGTTTGAGTAGCGACAGAGAAACATTGCAAGAGTCTGACTTTGTGTACCGGAAAAAGGCCAAGCATCACAATGTAAAGATTCCTCCATACACAGGGAAAGAAGACTGGTATGTCTGGGTTATTTGTTTTTTAGGAAGTTGCAGACAGATACCACTGGACAACAGATGACAAACTGGACCAATTACTGCCCAGACTACATGAAGATGCAGCTGACTTTGTGTATGGCCAATTATCGAAAGAGTCGAGAAGCAGTTATAAGAGACTTACAAAGGAACTGACCAGTCGTTTCCGTGCAATCGAAACCAGTCGAACATATTTGGCAAAATTTAATAATAGAGTTCAGAAGCCTGGTGAGCGAGTCGAGGACTTTGCGGCTGATCTAAAGCGCCTGTATGTCAAAGCCCACCCGGAGCGAGACTCAAAGACTAGAGAGGAAGACTTGCTCAGGAAATTTTAGATGGTCTGGCTGATAGAGAAGCCCAGTTTCATGTGGAATACGTCAAGGACCCCTCAGATATACATGAAGCTGTACGACAGGTTATAAATTATGAAGAAGCAGGTCGGCCTTCAACTAAGAAACATGTCAGAGAGGTGAAGTCGCTGTACAGTGATTCTGAATCAGAAGCCACGCCTAAGACAGTCATTAAGGCCAAGTCGTTGAAAAAGAAAAGTGTCAGAAATATAAAGTACAGCCAAGGAAACAAACAAGGGTCAGGTGGCACTATCGAAGCCTTGCAGAAACAAATCGATGAGATGGCAAAAGTTCTCAGCAACCTGACTAAGCAGAGCAACACTGGGACACAGTCAAGTAGGCCTATTATTGGTACATCTCAACCAGACATGTCTACAGGTCAAACAGCTCCTCTGGACAGACCACAGAAACGTAGCTGTTTTTACTGCAAAGGTGAAGGTCATTTCATAAGGGACTGCCCAAAGAGAATTAATGACCTGCAAGTCTCAAAGGCACCTTTAAACAGGCATTAGCCGTTCCTGTGGGTCAAGGACCGGCTACAGAAGAAACTGACAGACAGACGAACAGTTTAGACCCACCAACAGACCGACAACCAGATAATTTTGATGAGTCAGAAGATTTTTGTTTTATTTCTAATCGAATACCAGATGCAGATGGTGTGTACATAGAAGGAAAAGTAAATGGTTTAGATGTCCACATTACAACAGATACTGGTGCATCCAATACTATACTTTCATACAAAGTGTATGAACAACTGAAAGAGGCGAACAGACCCAGACTTCAAGGAAAGTCGCATTTACGAGGAGCTGACGGAAGTACCATTCATGTTTATGGGAAAGGAGTGTTCGAATTGCAACTTGGTTCCTTGGCCCTCAAGAAAAACCTTTTAGTAGCTGATATCCAAGATGAAGTGTTACTTGGAGTGGACATCCTGCAGAATAGTGATATTGGTCAAGCAGATATTCTCCTGAGTAAAGGACTGATAAGGTTCAAAGGTCATGATATTCCATGCATACAACGTGGTGTGCATAAAGATATTACCCTCCGTTGTGTGGAGAGGTGTGATATACCTGGGAATACAGAAGTAATAATACCGGCTTTCATTCAGCGTGAAAGTGAGGTTGATGTTGAAGAGGACCTTATGTTTGTGCCAAGTGGAGATCTTATGGAGAAGACCTCCTTACTGTTAGCCCCAGCAGTTCTTAATA